AGTTGTTTAGAACTTAGACCAGTAAAAGCTTTTTGAGGGGGAGGAGAATTTTATCATTGACCTTGTTTAGAATTGCTGGGACTTGGCAAAAATAAAAAAGACAAATTAAAAGATAACACAGAGAAGCCTGCCTTTTCATCAGTTTCAAATTCTCTGCAAATGAATCACCACCTTGTTTCCTATATTTCCTATGTCTCTGATCTGCACCTGCTTTGTGCTCTGCCCCCAGCTCGCCCACCCACAGGCCCTGTGGAATGCATATCCTCCTCTCTGGGACACTCGGACCACCTCAGATGGCTGGCGTCACCTGCTTACTTGGGCCACCTCTGGAACGGGTGCAGCTCTCTTGCTGAGTGAAGTTCCTCATCCTCCTGTCCCTCGGCCCTGCTGCCTGGTACGAACCTCATACGGCACCAAAACCCATGTTCCTCCCACTCAATGTGGAGAAAACAGCCCGGTGCATAGTAGGTGCTCAATCTACATTGACTGAGCGAATGAACAAACAGGGGAGAACAGACCGATATACACGGAGTACCTGCTGTGTGTTGTGCCAAGAAAAATGCGATGTGCTCCGTGTACCCTCCTTCATTCAGTTTTTAGTTTAGAGGGGAAAAAAAGAAAAAAACAGAGAAGCCAGATGGCTGAATGATCCACAGACCAATTAGTCTGCTCCCAAACAATAGAGATTATACTCTCCCCATATTTGAAATCAGAACATTCCGTTCCTGGCATAATGTGAAGTAAATTTTTAAGGCAATTCAAAAAGAAAGCTCGGAGTACTCATTAAGACTCCAGAGTTCAAGTAGAGGGTCTGGGGCCATGGCTCAGGCACATACCATGCGGTTAGGCTTGCCATGGTTCTAGAACACCTGACACGGCTGCCGTCCAAAGATCTGCCAAGGAAAGCTCTTTCAGTCTTCCAGCTGCCGATTCCTGTTGTTTAGGGATCTGTCCTTGGAGGGGTTTAATACAACCTGCTTTCTAAATACAACATGATCAGTCACCACTTGGGGGAATTTACTATGTGGGGTACAGAAGTGCCTCAAAGTTTGCATTCAGACCATATTAAATACTACATAAAACTCCACTAAATCCCACCCAGGAAGAGAGAGCTCTTCCCCTGCCCCTGAGCTCATGCACCATGCCTCATCTCCCTTGTCACCTCCTCTGAGGAGTATCCCCTACAGGTGTCCTCAGGAGAGGAAAGCTGAAGTGACCTGGACCTGGAGAACTGGCTGTGAGGGGCCCAGGTGAATTTCCCCAGCCCAGCCCAGCAGGCAACAGCCAAAGGATCGAGGGAAGGAGAGAAAATCAGAAGACGTGGGGGACATGGAGAGGGGTTATAACCAGTAGGAAACTGCCCTATATTTTTGACACTCAGTGGGTCATTTTTGGAGGAAATTGCACATGTGTGGTTCAGACAGAGGTTTGGTTGCATCTGTGATATGTCGAGGCCTCAGTGCCCGCTCTCTTCCCCAGTTCCAGAGGGGAGAACAAAGCATGATGTCACTGTTGTTAATGTTAGAACAACAAAAGGTGTCCAGAGGCTCAGTCCTCACCTCCTTATTTACAGAGGAGGGAGGTGAGAGCCAAAGCTGCATTAACCAGGGTACCAGAAGTAAGGAAGTAGAATCCAAGACTGCCAGGGCAGGGCAGTTCCTGCATTTTCTATGGCCTTTCTCACAGTTGGTGCTTTACAAATATTCATATTACGCTTCCTAGGTTAATGGATGAATAAACCGAGTATCCTTCTTTCTAGTTTATTTTCTCCTTTAAGATGTCAACACTTGGCGAAGTGTGGTTGATTGGAAAGTTCCCACATGGAAGAAGAAGAACTGACAGCTAAAGATACGTTGACAAAGATCTGGGAGTCAGAGTGGCTCACAAGCTGTAAGTCACTCACGCAGCCTGTGTGAGCACCAACTAAGCAGCAGGCTGGGCAAATCCTGCGGATCTCAAGTTAGCTGAGGAATCTAGCCCTGGGCTGCACAGACAGAGGGCTAGACCCGAGACAGGCTCCCTGCTGAGTGGACGCTGGCTGCACACAGCCCGAAGCCAAGGCTGCTGGATAGTTTTTATAGAATGTTAGGGAGTCATTTGCCTGTGAATAAACGTTGAGAAATGTAGCTGCTCCTAGGCAGGGGTCAACACTGACCCTCACCAAGCCCAAACGTGTGGCCAGCTACAGTGGCCGGGAACCAGGAAGCCAGCCTTCTCAAGTTCCCTCACCCCTGACTACCTCCCCAGCTCTGATGGGGAAGTCCTTCTGCACGCCTGCCCCTCCCTGTGCCCTCCACCCTGCTCTACCTGGCGCCAAGAGTGGTCTGACCTGGACCCTCAGCACCTCCTCAATCTGTGGCCTCTAACCCAGGGGCCAGCTCAGTGCAAGTTGCTGTCCCTGGGCCTGGGAACCTGTGACCACCTGCTGAGTGGTCCCCCCATGCTATTTGGGGTTCATATTGTACATGCAGGACTCACACTGCCCTCAGCACCTCCCCATGGATTTCAGAACAAAGCCCCACACCCTCATGATTTGGGCTCCAGGGCTCCCCTTCCCCTGTGTCCTCCCCCCATTCCCCTGCTGCAGTTTCCCGGCCCTGCATCCACGCCCTTGTCCTTGCTACGAGCTGCTCCCCCATCCGGACACCATCCCACCTCTCAGCTATCCAGATTCCAGCTTTATCATTTTCCCTCCCCAGAGGAGCTTTTCCTAACTGCCTACTCCCCAACCAGGTCACTATCCCGCAGTGACCTCTCCAAACACCCTGGACTCCTCCCGGTGTTGCCTGCGGTGAAGCCATCAATGCCACGACTTGTTCAAATTCTTCCACTCTTACAGACTTCGAGGAGGGTGGGAGCAGGACTTCCTTCCTGGGGTCCAGCGTCTAGCTCGGCGCACAGTAGGACCTATATTAAGGACTGCTGGAGGGATGCAGGGACGGATGGATGGACCTTCACGGGACCTCCGAGGAGTGCAGGGAGGACACTGTGGCTTCTGTGAGAGGGTCCAAAAGGACCAAGGACCATCCTCTGAGGGGTTTCCAGCTGGAGTCTGGGGTGGGCACCTTACCCCATGGGGAGGCAGGGAGCCAGCGAGCTCCTAACCCCCTGACACCCTAACTCAAATCTCCTGGAGGCTGACACGGCAGTCGCTGGTGTCACGCCCGGTGGCAGTGCCCTGCGACTCTCCACTGGAGCGTTTCCTCTGGTGTATCCAGCCTCATGGGCAGCCAGGAGCACCAAAGAGCTGCCCTGTGTAGTGAATTCTTATACCTGCAGTCGCCCCAGCATCCATTTCGAATGGAATTTGGACTGCCTCCTACCAGAAGCAGGGCTCAGCCGCCCTTGACAGAGTTCCCAGTTCTCTGTCTCTGTCTCCTCCCGGTTCCTCAATGTGGTGGGTCCAGACATGATATCTGCCTCATGCAGCCGCCTCCTGGTGACCAGCTCCCTGTGGGACAGCTGGATACAGCCTGCCTGATGCTCCCCACGTGGACTGCCCACATATGAGACAGTGCCACCTCTCAGTCACAGTGGGACCCCACGCAGCTCCCCCCTGCCTGCGCCAAACCCACCTGTCCCCAAGGGAACCTGCTTGGGGAACCCCCTGGACCCCAATAAAGGCTTCAGCCTCGGGTCCCTGTCTCTCCGCCTTTGCTCCCCACCTGCTGGCTGGGCGTGCATGTCCCGGGTGGCTTCCCTCTTCTCGTTTGTTGCACGTGCAGAGGCTGAGGGGGCTTCCCTCTCCTCTCTGGGCCCTGTAAGTGACATGCTGCTTCTGTTACTTCCCGTGTTTTCTTGTTTCAACTCCCCTTGTCCCACCTGACCGACTCACCCAAGTATAGTTTCCTCTGCCAGGGCTCTCTAGAGACTGGCTGTCTTAGTAGGAGTCAATGCACATGGGTCAGACCAGAGCCACAAAGATGTCCACCTATATACACAAGCTTCCTGTGAGAGTTACACCTGGTCAGGTGGGCAGGGCTAGAGCTTATAGCCACCCTCCTGAGAGAGACCTCAAGACCAATTCAGAGAGAAACACAACCAGCTGCCCATGTCAGAGGGGAGCTGCAGGAGAGCTGCCTGGTGCTAAAATGTGGCCCTGGCTCCAGCAGTCCCTGGGCCACCTGCTCTGCAAATCGCCACGGGCCAGCTCCCTCCTCACCTGTTCCACCTCCCCTCCCAAATAAACTACCTGCCCCAAATCTTTGTCTCAGGGTCTCCTTGTGAGGGATCCCAACCAAAGGCAGCCCCACAGAGCAGGTGTCTGTGGCTGCAGGAAAAGAATCCTCTGATTTGAAGGCTTTTGACGGGTCATGGTGTCCCAAGAGGCCTGCAGCGGCTCTGATCCTCCTTCCCTGCCTGGAACTCCAGCCCTTCCTGGTAATCCTCTGCGGGGGAGGCAGGCCTGCAAACCCAGGGCCTTGACACCAGAGACATTTTCATTTTCTTTTCTTTCTGGTGCTTTCTGTGACCCTGCCATCTCATAATGCAATATTTGCACTCTGAAACCCTGAAAACTGCCAAATTTCACCCAATTTGGTTTAATGTCTCAAGGAGCTTGGCATTGTGTTAGAAACCCAGACGTTCCCACGGCCCAGTTCCTATTTAAAAACTGACTATCTATTTAAAGTTCATGATGGGGGGAATATAAGAAAAAAGACTCCCAAAGCCAACAAGGGGAACATGAGATAGGCAAAAGAAAAATCCAGTTTGCTTCTAAAAAAGGCTGAAAATTATAACCATCCACGGCCTTGTGTCTTAAGTCTCAGAATTTTTTCCCCCCTTTTGGTTGTTTGCAAACCAAAAGGGAATTTTATTATGGGTTGCTAAGTGAGCTGTCTCAAGTTCCTAGCCCCCAACGTCTTCGCTCGCTCAGTAGCGTGCCATTTCGGTTCCTCATGCGGATGGGAGAGAGACGGAACTGAAGGAAAGCAGGCGGTGTCTCTGAGCCGTCCCGTCTTCCCCCACGCCGCTGCGTTTCCACAGCACTGAGCCAGGGACCCAGCAAAGCTGCCTGGCTCCTTTTATGAACAACAAAACCATGATGAAGGCAACAGGAGTCAGAAAACCATTCATTGCAGGAAGCCCCAGTATCCGGTGAGAAATAAGAAATACAACAGCACAGGATGCGCCTTGGGTCAGGGGGACGTGAGCAGCCTTTGTGTCCTCCTCTGGGCTGGAGCGGCTGCCACTCAGCCCTCAGCTCCCCTCAGGGCACAGCTGGGAACCCAGATAGAAGCTCCAGTCGCTGTTGTCACTTGTGGGCTTATCGCCTCCGCCGAGGGGGACACAGAGGTGGAATGGCCACCGGCCTGCTGCCGCTGCTGCTGCTGCTGTTCCTGGGCCAGCCCTGGGCTGGGGCTGGGGCCGGAGCCGACACGGAGGCTGTGGTCTGTGCGGGGACCGCCTGCTACACAGCCCACTGGGGCAAGCTGAGTGCGGCTGAGGCCCAGAGCAACTGCAGCCAGAAGGGGGGCAACCTGGCCACAGTGAAGAGCGAGGAGGAGGCCCAGCACGTCCAGCAAGCCCTGGCCAAGCTCCTGAGGCTGCAGGAACCCCTGGCCGTGAGGATGGGCAAGTTCTGGATCGGGCTCCAGCGAGAGAAGGGCAAGTGCTTGGACCCCAGCCTGCCGCTGAAGGGCTTCAGCTGGGTGGGCGGCGGGAGGAACACGACTTACGCCAACTGGCACAAGGAGGTCCGGAGCTCGTGCATCTCCAAGCGCTGTGTGTCCCTGCTACTGGACCTGTCCATGCCACTTCCCGCAGGCCGCCTCCCCAAGTGGTCCGAGGGCCCATGTGGGAGCCCTGGCTCTCCCGGAAGTAGCATCGAGGGCTTCGTGTGCAAGTTCAGCTTCAAAGGCATGTGCCGGCCCCTGGCCCTGGGGGGTCCAGGCGAGGTGACCTACATCACCCCCTTCCAGGCCATCAGCTCCTCCCTGGACTCTGTGCCCTTTGCCTCTGGGGCTGATGTGACCTGTGGGGACGGGGACAAGAGTACAAGCTCTTATTTCCTGTGCAAGGAGAAGGAGCCCAGCGTGTTTGATTGGGGCAGCTCGGGCCCCCTTTGCGTCAGCCCCAAGCACGGCTGCAACTTCAACAACGGGGGCTGCCAGCAGGACTGCTTCGAAGGGGGCGACGGCTCCTTCCGCTGCGGCTGCCGGCCAGGGTTCCGGCTGCTAGACGACCTAGTGACCTGTGCCTCCCGGAACCCTTGCAGCTCCAGCCCGTGCCGTGGGGAGGCCACGTGTGTCCCTGAACCTCACGGGAAAAGCTACACATGCCGCTGCCCCCAAGGCTTCCAGCTGGACTCCAGTCAGCTGGGCTGTGTGGATGTGGACGAGTGCCAGGACGCCCCCTGTGCCCAGGAATGTGTCAACACCCCTGGGGGCTTCCGCTGTGAATGCTGGGTGGGCTACGAGCCGGGCAGCCCCGGAGAGGGGGCCTGTCTGGATGTGGACGAGTGTGCCCCTGGCCGATCACCCTGCGCCCAGGGCTGCACCAACACCGACGGCTCATTCCATTGCTCCTGCGAGTGGGGCTATGTCCTGGCCGGGGAGGACGGCACCCAGTGCCAGGACGTGGACGAGTGTGCAGACCCTGGGGGCAGCCTCTGTGACAGCCTGTGCTTCAACACACAGGGGTCCTTCCGCTGCGGCTGCCTGCCGGGCTGGGAGCTGGCCCCTGATGGAGTCTCCTGCACCATGGGCCCTGCGTCCCTAGGACCCCTGGCTGGGCCTTCCCAGGAGGAGGACAAGGGAGAGAGAGAGGGGAGCACCGTGCCCCCTGCCACAACGTTCAGTCCCACCAGGGGCCCTGAGGGCACCTCTGAGGCAGCATACACCTCCACGAGGCCTTCCCTCCCACCCAACGGCCCCCTCACCTCTGCCCTGCCCAAGATGTTGGCTCCCAGTGGGCCCCCTGGTGTCTGGATGGAGCCCAGCACCCGCCACCCCACGGCCGCCACTGGCCACCGTGACTCTGCAGGTGGGGATTTCGTGGCCACACAAGGCGATGACGGCACGGACGGGCAAAAGCTGCTTTTGTTCTACATCCTGGGCACCGTGGTGGCCATCTTACTCCTGCTGGCTCTGGCTCTAGGGCTGCTGGTCTATCGTAAGCGGAGAGCGAAGCAGGAGGAGAAGAAGGAGAAGAAGCCCCAGAGTGCAGCAGACAGTTACTCCTGGGCTCCAGAGCGAGCTGAGAGCAGGGCCACGGAGAACCAGTACAGGTAAAGGAGCCCCGAGGACCCCGGGAGAGGGAGTGGGGACCGCATGGGGGCAGGGGGAGGCCCCGGTCGTTGTACAAAGAGGCAGAGGCCAGGAGCCGGCACAGGGTCCCCGCAGATGACCGATGACAGATGCCAACCCCTCCAGCGCCACCCCCACTCAGCACAGGTCACCACGTCCGCAGCATGCATGAGTGCGCTCGGGGCTTTCTCTGAGGGTCTAGATGTGCATGCGGCTGGGCATAGCGGCTTCCAACACTGTCGTCTTTCGTTCCCCACAGTCCGACACCTGGGACAGACTGCTGAAGGCGAGGTGGCCCCAGGGACACTTAGAGTTGGCAGCCACCATCCTCAGAGCTTTGAGTTCCCCGTTCCCAAGGGGGACCCACATCGTTGGAAAGACTGGACCAGAATCTTAGCAATTATAAACCTTCTCCTTATGAGCCTGGCAACTTGGAATGTGCAGGTATTTTCCACACGTGTGTGGTATTCCAGAAGTAGAAGCCGTGTGTTGGCCTGCCATTGTGGGGATTTTGTGAATATTAAAAATTCTCACTCCCTCTCCCTTTTCAAATACCAATGTGACTGATTCTGGATGGGGGTGAGGAGTCAGAGCTACAGATCCTCTTCGAATGGCTTCTCTGCTCACTTTTACCATCTAGGAGGAAACAGCAGATGCTAGTGCTGGTTAGGATTGAAGTGATTTGTTCCTCTTCCTAGATAGAAACTAAGTGAACTAACTATTTAATTAGATAGGAGGCCTCCTTCTGCTTGTCAGAGGGAACGGATTCAGGACATACTCATTGGCGTGCATGCTTTCCCCAGCACAAGTCCTGCTGCGAGGACAGTGTTGAAATCCTCCAGAATGACCAGAAGTGCAATTAACTGCTTAGGCAGCAAGGAGGCTGGAAGTTTCAAAATCATGTTCCCTAGTTCTTAAGTTTCTAATAGTCTTGGGTTTATTTGCAATCAGGGTTTGAAAAGTATGAGAAAAGTTTCTTTAAGTGAGTTAAAGGTGTTTGTGAAAACATATAACCCAAAGGGCTGGGGCGAGAGAGAGGCCAGGGATTGGTTTCACAGATACTTGAATTTATTTGTCTAAATGTACCGATGTTAACACGCACTTGACTCCTGATGAGATAAATACCAACAAGAAAAAAAGTCAAGAACAACTTGCGTTTGTGCCAGGGTGGCCCGAGATGCCCGTGAGCAGCTCTGCCTCCATTCGTGCTGCTCTGACTTTCGACCTTTGAGTGCAGAGGGAGGAAGGCCCGCAAAGCCTTCCATCCTGGTTGTTTGCTAAAGGATGTGTGAGCGGGAGACGACAGGCTGTGTTTTGAAAGCTGTCATTCTAAAGCGCATTAGCAGGATTCACAGTTCACAGTGGATCCCACATTCTGAGAACTTGAGTCCTGATGTGTGGGTGTAACGCACAGGGACAAGCCAGGCAGGACGCTTAAGGAACGTTTGTCATGTCTCTCAGAAAGGAGAAGGAAAGAAAATAACCCAAAGCTTTTGCAACAGCAAAAATTGCTCAAAGCCATTTTAATTTATATCCTCATTTTAAAGAGTACATTTAAAGAGTACATTTAAAGAGTACAAAGATTTCTCCTTATGATGTGGTTGATAGCACTGTTTGTTTTCTCTCTCTCTCTCCCCTGGGTGCTGGAAAGTAGGCCACACCCCTCCCCGTTCACCATGGTCAGAGTTGTTAGAAGTTGCCTGAGTATCTCTGGGAAGCCTCAAGTGTCCAGGGGCTTTTAGCTGCCCCCGTGCAGGACAGTGGACAGAGGAAATGCGTTTCCTTCCAAGGTTCCAAAGTCTCTGCCTTTCAGAACACAGGTGCCCTATTGTTTCTGGTCTTGCCTTAGCAACACATCTGTCCCAGAGGTCTACACCCTGAGCGGGGCAGGAACTGAATGCCCTCCAGGTGCACGGCCTTCAGAGTTAAGTAAATATCCTTTTGTCAATTTTGAAATGTAGATGCTATAGTTCAGATTTTTGTTTTTTAAAAAAATGGAAAACTCAAAGTGTGGGGGAGGTGACAGGAAAGATGGAGGTGGAGGCTTCCCGGGGCTCAGCGGGGCATCTGGAACATCTGTTTTTAAAAGTCATCTCATAGTCTCCAGTTTTCAGTTGGAATTCTGATGTTTAACACTGAAGGGAAACAAAGGCTGGGTCCATTTGGCAAACCTTCATTGGCCACAGGACTCTCACAATCTGCTGAGATGAGCAGTCTGTCGTTTCGAAAGCAACCATCTGGCCATTCCGATGATTTTAAATGCGTGGTCGGATGTGCTGCTAATTGATATCTGCACCTCAGGGAAATAAATGCAAATGCAACACCTTTGCCTCTAGGCCTTTAAAATTCATGCCCTTATCATTTGGGATGAAAGAGACATTTCTATTCTAGGTTTCCCACGGCACCCCCATGTACAGATCTTGTGCGCCTTGAGTCTGCTGAGGATCCAGAGCGTCCTCTGGCTTTCACAGCGTTCTGATTGCTCACACAGCCCAGCGCATTGTCTGGTCTCTGAATTCTGCTGTAACTGGCGATTTGCAGCCCCATCCCCAACAGGGATCCCTTCTTGGGGGCCATGGCAGTGGATAAACAAATGCCCACCAGCAAGTGGCCATTGACAAACCATTGTTTATCCAGAGGGGCCGATTGCTTGGGCTGAGGCACAGCCAGAGGCGGGGCAAAGAGAGGTGCTCTCTGCCATGTGCTAACTTCCCGGTAGACACAGTATTTCTGTCCCAGGTACCTGTCCAGGAGCAGCAGAACCCAGGAGATGGGGAGATGGGGAAGGTTCCACTTGGCATCAGGCTCCAAGGCAATGGAGACTTTTTTGGTCCAAATAGAATTTTCCATAGCTCAATAATTTGGGGAAACTCTTAGAAAAACTCTCCTCTCTCTCCTTCCCACCTCCCAAAGCAAATAATTTAAAGGGGAGAACACCTCCTCAAACATGCAGCTCGCTGTGCCCACTCATTCCTGGATTTCAGGTGACCTTCAGTGCTCTTTTTTTCTTGTTCGTTATTTGGAGAAGAACGATGCAGGGGAGACAATTCCCTCAGATAATCTGAGGAATGCAGATTACCCAGGCTAGGACAGTTGTCCACAGTGTCCACAATGCTTAGGAGACACTCGGTGAGCATCCTTTGCGGTGCAGTGGGCATCCACCCCTGCACAGCAGCTGGGCTTCGAGGCAGGGCCAGGCACATCTGGTCTCCACCTGTGGTTGCTCACAAAACTAATCACCATTGTCAGTTGTCATAACATCATGTTGCTGCATATTGCTTTGTTCAGCCTCACCGAAGGGACAAATGACACCAGACTCTGAGGATGCTGAAGCCGACTGTGGTCACTGTGGCGTTACAAAGCCACTTCTGCGTGTTATGTAGTGGCAGACCTAAAGGAAGGGCCGGCCTAGTGTCTTCTTCACTGTGATCAGGCAAAACAGGAGTAAAAGTGAAACCTTTTTATGTGCATGCTTATGTCCACTGTGCAGGGTGAACTGAGTTGAAATGAATTTCTTTTAAAGTTGCTATCATCTTTTAAGTCCTAATCAAGAACCCTTGTTTGAGCATTTTATCACTGAGCAACCTTTCGGTGGATAGATTCGGTACTTTTGTCCTGACCTTCATTTCCATAAATATTTTGCAAATTAAGAGAACAGAGATGAGATTTGACCAAAAAAATGACTAAATCCCAAATAGCACAGGTTTTTTTAAAGCTAATATAGGAAAGCCTTTCCTATTATTTTTCTTCTTAGCGTCTCCATTGTCTAAATCGGGAAAACAGGAAAGCAGTGCTTTCTAGCAGCTGCGGAATGGTTTAATGCCCCCTGCATATTTCCATCACCTTGAACAATAGCTTTAGCATGGGAATCCTCTGGTCCCTGAAAACATCTGTCTCTACTCTGGCTGCAAAGCCCACAGCTCAAATCTGTGTGGTTTGTGCAGTTTGTCAATGAAAAGACGATGACAATCCAAATTCTCCACGTACTCAATAGTCAGATACCCTATTCCACACCAGATTCCCAAGACTCACTGAAGTGCTTGTTAAAAAATGAATCACGTTTCTGTCTGTTCTTGTAGATAATGCCTGTGTATTTTAGGTAGAAACTCTGGAATTCCATGCTTGCATGTTACCCTTGTCTGCGGGGTGGCAAGTGCTTCTTTTCAGTAGATTTTGCTGTTGCTCCAGCTGAAGTTCTTTGTGCAGATGAGGCTTAAGCTAGAATTAGATCCTTGCAAGGCCTTTCTCTGTGATGTCAGATGTGATTGTAAATGTCAGTAATGGCTTCATGAAGGCTAAATGAGAATATAAGTATTTTTTCAGTGTGTGTATTTGAAATGTTTGACTAATTCTGGAATTATGGGATTTCTGTGCAGGATTTACTTTCATCCTGTGCATGTTTCCCTGACTGTGGGGAGGGGAGGCTGGAGACTAGCTTCTCTGCAGAGTTCCAACAAAAGGGCAGTTTGAGTGGCATCTCAGGTCGGCCTCTAAGAAGTACCAGCTCTCTTGTCTTTGAGCTTCCTGTTACACACCTATCGTAATAAACTCTGAAACACATTTGTTGTGAACTTGTTTTAATATCTTTCAAGACAATGCAAAATACACGGCAGAACTTGCTGTCGTAGTCATTAAATTTATCCGTTTCCCTTTCCAAAGAGTTGCTAAAAAGAAGATATCTTGCTGGCCGAGTTTCTACATTAGGTGCAGAGCTCTGTCCTCCGTTACCTCAGTGAGTGCTCGCATCACCCTCAGCACCCTGCCCTCAGGGACACGGGACACAGAGGGACTGGACTGCAGTGTGCCCAGTGTCCACGGCAGCTGGGGGACCCACACTGGACTCGATGCTCCTGACTTGTGCTTTCGGATCTGGAGTCCACTCATCCATGTCTCCCTTTAATTCCCTGCATCTTTTTAAATGTATGGGTGATGCCTGGTGCAAGATAAACACATCCAATTGGTGTGACGTGAAAACGCCATTCTGTAATTATCATTGGAGCATTTATCACTACTTTGTCAGCAAAGCTCTTTCAGTTTATTTAACTAATTGGACAGGCAGACCAGATCATTGGTTGTTTGGCTGAATAAATCTTACTTTGATTCCAAGTCAGTGATGGCAGATGGTGGACGATTAGGAGTCTGCCTGCTTTAAGATTGTGCGCTTGGTAAAGGCTGCTACAAAAGAAGGGGCTTAAGCAGGATAAAGTGCTCTGCTCTGTTATGCTAATGGACAGGACACTTGCAATAAACACCCATGATTTAGGGTTAAATAAAGCCCATCCTTTTAGCAGTCTAGTCACTAACAACATACATTTGGAAATTATACCTTAATAAGAACAACCATGGCTGCCTCCCCGAACACACACACAGACACACATAGACAGGCACCTGCAAACACACACCACAAACATATTCACAAATGCACATACACACATACAAACATGCATCTACAAACATGCAGGCACACACAAGCACACACGATTCTAACATCCTTTTGTTTCATGCTGAAAAACTTGAGGCCAGCATTTTCTTACTTGGGAAAAGCTCATAAACAAAAATTCCAGCCTTTAATAGTGACTCCTCTTGGCGACTTTTGCCATCTAACTAAAATTTCTTAAATGCTAGGTAAATCTTTCCAACATGATTCATTTATCCTAAATTTAGTTTACACAGTTGTATCTATTGCACACCATAAAGTACATTTGTATGGCTAGCAGACAGCATGCAGGTTAAAATGCAAGACTCAGATATATACTGTGCACATTCCATGGCATGTAACATGAATTGAGTGAGTGTATGGAGTTATAAGCCAACTCTTAAGTGTGTTCAGCAAGCGGAGACAGAGACAGGAGAAATAATAAACTTGAAAATCAAAAAAAGTCTTTTTCATCCTACCCCTGAATTATGTATTGACATTACAGTCACTTAAAAAGAGAACAACTGATGGGTTTGTCCTGCACAGTCTCTGTACACCTCCTGGCTCCTCCTCTCAGAGGGAATAACGGCCGGTCAATGGTGAAAAGGTGAACAAAGAGGCAAAAGTATATGGAGGTATTTGAAGTTTTTCCTCATTGTCCTGGATGTTCTCTTGTGGTTGAAACTGATCCATAGAATTCAAGTGAGTTGAAGGAAGAGGTGGAAGAAAGGAAGAGAGGGAGGGAGGGAGGAAGGAAGACTGAATAAATGGAAGAGAAAGAGAGTGAGGGGAGAAGGAGAAAGAGGGAGGGGAACAGAGAGAGGAGAGAGAACAAAAGGGGCTGGAAGAATGACATCGGTGTGGTGAAGGTCATTGGGTCACATTCCTAATGACTTTCGCCACCCAATGAAGGGCCCTTTTGGCTTTTAGCTTGAGAAGATGAAGGACCCTTCCCCCACAGCTGTGTCCCTGGGACTTCCTGGGCCACACTCACCACACTGGCAGAACAACAGAGCTACTTCTGCTGGCCTGGTGAGGTCTAGCCACTCCCCTCACCTTTCCCTGCAAAGCCAGCTTGCTCTCTCTCTGCACGTTCACGCCTGTCCACGTGACTCATATCCTACAGCCTTGAGCTGAGCCCAGGACTTCTGCTCTGTTGGGCTCCTTCTATGTTCAAACATCACATGAAAATAATGAAATTCGTGAGGTGGAAGAAAATAATTGGGGCTTTTACCTTCTCTCTCCAGGGTCTGCTTGTCCCAAAAAGATTATGTCCCAAACGTTTTACCTCTTTGCTCAAACCCCCGACGTCCCTCCCACACATGTGTGTTGGGTGCGGTGTGGGCTCTATGAGCAATCACACCGGCTTGTCCCCTGTTCCTCACGGCCCCGGGTCCTCACTGAGCAGCCTCTGTCCACACTGTCCTACCCCAGGGCAGCTGTGGTTTCCTCAGTTTCTCCTTGTATTTCTACCAATTTTGTCTCCTCTTTAAAGCTGTGTGGTGACTGGTATGTTTTTAACACATCGCTTCCTTTCCCAATAGGAAATACACCTTTTGAACCTTTCCACTTCAAATTCTATTTCGTCTACCTCTAAAACTGATCTACTCAATTCATTCTGTTGCATCTGATGAATGCTAACTTTGTCAGATTTTTCTTTTTAATTTCAGCCTTCCTGTGTTTCTCACAAACAACAAAGCCGGATTTCACTTTATGCTTTTTTTTCTTTTATCCAATCAAAAGTCTGCCTTTTCATGGGAGAATTCAACCTATTCACATTCACTAAGCTTACTAATAAATTTGCAGTGGTTTATTTGATACGTTCTATTAATAATGTTTTTTTGGTGTTTCCATTCTCTCTTTCTTGTCAATAATTTGATTAAGTTTTCTTTGTTCTACTTTTCTCCTCTAATAGTTTGGAATTTACGTGGCCTGTTTGTCTTCTTCGAATACTTAGTGTTAATTTTTCATCTCATGTATTTAAACCTGTATCTTCCTATCAACGTCTTATGTTATCTAATAGCCAAATCCTTCTTCCTGAAAAAAAGATAAAACCCCAGAAATCTATTATTTCTACTTCCCCGCTTCTCAAACTATCCCAGTTCCCACCACCGTCGCCCACCTTGATTGCATCTGAATTTCATTTTCCAATTGTTATAAATTTGATCAGCACCTATGTAGATATCATGAGTTTCATTTGACATTTTTCTCGCCCTCACCGCTGATTCCCAGGGGCTCTAGGATTCAGTTTTCAGTGGAGCATTTTGTTTTGATCATTGCCTTTTCCTGAGAGAGTTGTCAAAGGGCAGATTTTCTGCATGCTTGCTGGACTGGAAATGCCTTTTTCTCATGGTTAAATATTGTCTTACGTGGATTTAGATTTCTACGTTCTAAACTATCGTCCCTCAGAACTTTGGAGCCTTTGCTTTCTCGCAGACATTGTTCCTGATGAGAAGGCTGATGGCAAATAATGTGTTTCCTTTCATGGGACACTTCTTTCATTTTTTTTCCTTTCCTCCCCTGAGTGTTTGGTTATTTTCTTGTTCTCTGCTGTGTTCTGATGTTTCCCTTCAGGTATACAGGCATGGTTCTTTCCCATCCTGCCTGCACTAGGTCAGCACTTTCCAGCTCTAGAGGATGCTTCATTCCAGGGGTATTTGAACTTGAGCCTGTGTCAGAACCTGCTGGAGTCTCCCGCAGGGCTCATTAAAACCCAGATTGCCAGGCCCCTTCCCCCAAGTTTCTGACGCAGCGGGTCCAGGATGGAGCAGAGACACTGAATTTCAACAAGCTTCTGGAGAAGCTGATACTGCTGGCCCAGAAACCCAATTTGGAGAACTGTTGCTGTATTCGGTTTTGAGTAATTTTCTTCTCTTATTATTGCAGGTATATTCTCCCATTCATTCTCTTGACCCTCTTATTCTGGAAGCAATTTCTTGACTTTGCTTCCATGTTTTCCGTTGTTCCGTCCTGTCCCAGTGGGTTATGAGGTTGCAACTTCTCTCTCCCCAATCACCCTTGCTCTACCCTACTTTTCTCAAAACACTAGTCACCTTCTAACACAGTATATGATTTCCTTTTGCACATTACGATTTATTATTTATTGTCTATATTTATTCACTAGAATGTAAGGTCTACCAGAGCACTGTTTTTGGTCTTTTGGTCTCGATATGCCCCAGGCATCTAGATGAGGGCCTGGCATACAGTGGTGCTCGATAACTCTATGTGGAATGCATGACCAAGCTAAGGGTGGGAGCAGTATAGCAGACAGGGTGAGCCGGTGCAACTGCTGGGTGGTCTTGCATGAAGCCCTGATGTTGTCCGGGACCTTCCTCTCCCTCCCCTGCCACTGTGAAGCCGACCCTGGCTCTGCAGTCTGCTCACCTCCCCTGGTCCCTGGCTCAGCGCACTCAAGCCTTCTCTACTGCTGACCTAGGCTGTGGTCAGCATGTCCATCTGGTCCGAGGGTCTCTCCGCTCCAGCTTCTGGAAGCAGATCCTGCAACAAGGATTCGAGTGCACGAGTCCATTGGGAAGTGCAGGGGACGGTGACAGGACGGTGGGACAGTGATGTGACTGTGGAAACACTGGGAAATGGAGCGAAACACACCAGAGTCATCCCACCTGAGAGTCAAGGGAGCTGGAGTGTAAACTCCCCGCCAGTAACGAGGCGGCTCCGGGTTGGTGTGGGTGGCTGATTTCCAGCACTTCCAGGTGACCTGGCATGTGGACGGAGTGGCCTCCACACTGGGGAGGGGGCAGCCTTCAGGGAAAGAGGCAGGCACTGGCCTGAGCCCAGGGAACAGACTGGGGCCACTGTGAGCTCTGGCGACAGCCTCCACACAGCCCTGCTCTTA